AAGGAAAAGAGAGAGCAGAAAACAGAAACCACAGAAACTGGGTTACAACAGACAGCTAAGCCTTCCACATGACATAACCTTACAGATATTAAAAGTCATCCTATGAGCACGAAGCTGTAGCTTTTCATCTCTAGCATCATTGCCTAGCCTTAAATCCCTGCCAAAGAAAACACCTGGTAAAAAGACCAGGTGGGAGGAAAGAGAGAGATGTTCCTAATTACAAGCACTGAATCATTTCACAACATTCTCACCTCATTAATTTAGCAGAATTATTTGCAAAATCGGATTTTTCATCCTATCTTTTATATAATCATTCGATGTTAAAATCCCCTTGCTGCCCAGCCTTCAGTGGGATCCAACCCTACAGTGGGAAATAAAGCATCACCACCAGCAGAAACAGGACCAAGGGCCTCCCTCTTGGGAAATATATTACTCTTGTATGTCTACTTTGCATCCCTCTTTATTTACTAGCATACAAAACTAAGCTTATGACTACATTAAAATAAGACTAAAATACAATAAACTTCTACAGACTCCAATTTACAAATCAGCATTCTAAAGATGGAGGGAAATTCTAGCTTAAAAATACACTGAAATGAAAATAAAAATGATAGCAAGAAAAAAAAGAACTTTACTGAAACCGTGCCTCTTTACTATCAATGAACATATTACTCTTCGCAACACTTGAATGTAAATTTTGAACTACCAGAATAAAATTGCCGATAGGCGAGATAACAGTATGATTTGCTTAAGGAAACTCAGCTTCTTGCCTAGACTTTCTTCCAGCCTCAGCAGACTGACGTAAAAACCCCTCCAAAATCACAGAGTGTGGAATTGCCATACTTTGTTCAAGAAAGGAGAAGCTGGGCTGCCGAAAGGCAATGGCTTAGTGATCTCTAAAACAGTTCACAGCAGAAAAAAATAGAAGGACAACTTCTCATTTTTCACAGGCAGGTCAGAAAGCTAGCTGGACTACTACTATTTTATATAATAAGAAAATATAATAGGACATTGCAATACTCTCTCATACCACATGATTTCATCTTAGATCACATGAAGAAATCAGCAGACTATAATAATTATGTATCAAAAAAGATCATATGACTCAAGAAGCCCTCTTCTGAGATATTAACCTCTTCAAGTACTAATTGACATTGCTGACAAAATGGAATTAGTAATGCAAGCGGCTCAGCAGTCACTTCAGCAGTCAAATAGTTTTCCACTTCCATGGCACAATCACGAATACTGCAGAAGCTTAACAACTCTCTTGGTAGGAGCTGAAAGAGTTCATGAAATTATCCACATTTCAAAGAGGAAAAAAAAAAAAAGAAATTTCAACTCCTAAAAAGCTGTCTCTGGTCTCCCAGCAAATCTACCCATAAAAGTGAACTTAGACCATTTTCACTTCAGCAAAGATCATCTATTTATTTACTTACAGACAGCCTCAAAAACCAGTCTTCCAGGCGTTAACCACGAAAAACTTAAGGGAGACACTGCCACTTTCTCTTTCAAGGATGATCTCATTTTTAGTAGGAATAAAGCAGCTTGTCAACGTCTGGATCAAAGAGATACCAGCAATTCTGGCAGCACCAGCTGAACGAGCTGATGGAACCACAACAGCTGGTGAAAGCCAAAGCTAAATTTGACCAAAAGTATTCAATGTGAGCCCTTTGCTAACTGAACACGGCCACCTGGAGAGAGCAGGCTGCATCACTGGGCTGGAAAAGGCAAAGTGTCTATGCTACCAAGGCATAACAAGAAAACAGAGCACAAAGCTGTAGAAGTTCACACCACAGGAGTGTTGAACTTACCTACGCAAAATGCAAATTTATTAGAAAAGGACTTCTGAGCTGTGCGATTTCCCTGGATCAGGTTGCTCTGAAAACATTATCTGATGCTATCACAACACCTTCTTTTCAGGTTTACGCATTCCCCTATACTTGGTTTACAGTGCTATCACCATGGATGGTAATACTGAGCATAGAAGCACTTGTAATAAAAACTTTAGCTTTTATATTAAGAACATGAGCAGATGCACAGCCAGGAGAGTAACAGGTTGAATACAAGTCTTAACTTGACCAGTCTGGATCCTCTACAAATAGATCCTCATCACTCACACACGAGGTGGGAGGAGGTCCCATTTCTCCTACTGCTGAAACCACTAAAATTTCTGCCCTGTGACACGCAGGCAGACCCAAGGAAGCTCTACCTTCCTATTAACAAAGTGCTGCTCCTAGCTGCAGTTTGAAAAGGAAGATTTTACGCTCCTTTCATAAAAATGCCAAGTAACCAGGGAGGATCGGAAAGTAGAGCATTTCCCTGCCGAGCAGGCTGTTGCAAAACCTCTGACCAACTCATCTAAATTCCTCTTAGTGCCAGAGGGAAATGGCATCGTTAATTTCATAAAAGAATCAACCCAAAAACTATCAATTTTCTTAAAAGCAGTAGCATTCTTTGGGCATGGAGCATATTTTCTGTCTTGTTGCTCAGCAACAGCCATTTATATACCTCTCGTACAGTTTAAGGCCTGCTATTTAGAAAGCATTAATTTAAAAAGACATTTATATCATGTTATATAGTGGAGAAAATATATGTGACAATTTGTATTAATATTTTATCTGAAAAATAATCTCATGTAGTTATTCTACCTAATAGGAAGATCAAAAGCCGCGTGTTATTCTGACTTGTGGGAATTCCCTGACCGAACAGGCACGGAGCTCCCAAGGAGGGGCCGAGGAACAGCAGTGACCCAGGCTCCGAGCTATCCCCCAAGACGCCACCACTATGAGCTTGCACACTACCGACCCTGGGTTTGCAAATTTGGTTGGCTTTTTTCTTCTTGCTTTCAAGCATTTTTATAAGGCTTTCAGTGTATGTAGGGCCTGGTGACTTCAAACAACAAAACCAACTTGTACGTTGTCTGCCAAACGTGCCCTGACCGTGCAAGGTACAATCAAAAACCATCAGTATCCCACAAAGCATCATTTACATCTTCAGCCGCTGGAAAAACGTTTGTTGATTTCCATTTACCTGAAATTTCACCTTTCTTCAAAGTGATGCAAAAAAGCTAAACCCCAAACACAAGATATTTATACATGTTACTACTGACAAATTTGACAGCAAAAACAACCTTTCCAGTGAAACTGAGAGAAAATGACCACCCTGAAAATCTATCTATGCAGTGGGCCCGACATCAAGGCCAGAAAACTCAGTGTTTTACTTTAAGCTGAAAAATCTATCAAACACCAATTATATTCCCAGGTTGTAGTTGACATGCTTTTTTATGAGAAACTTTAAGGAGCTAAAACACGTTAAAAGTTTAAAAGTTGTGGATTTTCTTAATCTTTAAAAACCTAGCTTTCTCTTTGCTGGTTGTACTCGACCTTCCCTTCAAAATCTCATACGGAGGAAGACAGTTCTGGTTTACACTCAGTCGTTATGAGCCCAGACTACGCTCCCGCTATCGAATTGTTGCCCGTTCACCCCCCTGCGCTGCTGCACGTGGGAACAGCATTTGCCAGCTCCCGTGGTATTTTGCAGATCCCCTTTCAAAAGTTCTTCTCTGTCCTCCCCAAGCAGCTGTCCTCAGCCCATGGCCACAGTTTCAGTCTCGTACTCCGTGACTCGCTCTGCTCGCGACGGCAGCAGCACCCGCGCCAGAAACCCCGGGCAGTTGTGGGAGCTCACACACAACGTCGCTCGCAGGCATCACAAATTTGCCCACATGATGCTTTTGATGGGGCTCAATTAAGGCTGTATGATCGATTACAGAAAAATAAAACATGTTTTCAAAAGTGCCGCACGAAGACCAGGGCGGAGGCCAGCCTGGGCAGTCAAAAGGGCACGCAGCTACCTCGGTCCCTGCATCCTCGGTAGGACAAGGGGGATGATGTCCCAGCACCACTGTGCCTGCCGCTCCCCTCTGCTAGCAAACCTAGAGTGTGAAAACCCATGATAAAAACCTCGGGAAACAGCGGTACTTCTGTCTCACTTGCTGCAGTACGCTATTGTCTTTTAATTCAGCACACTTCTCGATAAATGTTCATTTAAAGTAAGACAGGCTTAAAAATATATTCGAAGACAAATCAATATCTAAGAAAATTTTGAGTTGGAAACAGTTTTGATTTCTAGACCTGTCAAAGGAATAAGCACAGCTCTGAAAGATCCTCAGAAAAGATGGCAATTACAGTTAGATCAAAACCACCCATGTTTTGGTCACTACTTGAGACACAAAACAGCTGAATAACCACAGTAAGATCAGCAGAAACCTTGAGCAGAAGTGTGACGCCTATCCCAGACTGAGCGACAGCAAAATATTCTGAGTCAAGCGAAACTTCATTTGGGGTCATACCCACACAGAGAGGCATACACTGTATTGTGTTTCAATCCATACCACCAAAACAAAGGCCAGCACTGACTTATATGCTAGTGATTTCAAAACCAAGTTAATTATAAGTCTGCCTTAAAACATCTAATTCAACCAACCTGAAAAACATGTTACAAAAGTTGTAGAAGAGTGGCCACAAGAAATTTAAGGGCAAATGAAACAGCTACAGCCTGAATTTTCCCCTGAATATTAAGCCAATTAAACACACCGCACTGAAGGAAGAGTATTAGGAAAGAGATGCGTGATTTCATGTTTGTGAATGTTGTGGTTATATTACAAAGCCAGTCCAAATTAAAAATTAAAAAATAGCCAATACTTAAGCAATACACAAAAAAACTATTCAACATGTCATGATTAACTTAATGAATTTAAGATCCAAGAAAACAAATACTATGAGGACAAAAGAAAAAAGTGGCTGTAGGATTTTGTTTCAACACCAAGATGATGCAAGTCACGATATAGACTTTACAGCATAATTAACTAAACACTAAAACAAGTTTTATTTCCAGATCATTTCTGGTACAAACTCAGCCAAGACCCTCACGTTTCTTATCTACTTTTACATGCTGATGCCACAGAATAAAATGCTGCTTTCATTTCCTCCAGTCCTTAAATGGGTTTAAGTTCTTACAGAACCTTTTTGTAATTATTTTCCCCAATGTTTCTGGCCCATCAGAGGCAGGACAAGGGCACCAGGCAGCGCAGCCCAGGTTTTGGCGGGGGACGGAGGGGACTGATGTCTCTGGCTGCGCCGCACATTCACTCCAGGTTCGCAGGCGCTGAAAGAGTAAGCACCATCTTCTGTCTCGGTGCCTCCGCTTCAGCGCGGAGCCATCTGCATCGCTGCCATGAGATTATCTGGCACATCTAGCGCTCGCTTAGGCAGGAAGGGAAAATAAAGGGCTGTATTGATTAGACAGATGCACTGCGCCGTGCTGTGCAACAGCTACAGCTGGAGTTTGAAACAAGAAGTTATTGAGAAAAAAGTAGCGGAACCATGGTTCATCACCTATCTCACAGACATGAAATAAGACAAAGTTTTCTGATATCTATAAAATATCTGGAGTATGAGCAATTGAGGACTTAACTGTGAAAGCTAAAGTTAAAAGTTAAAAATTAAAGGAAAGGTATTTGGCATAAATTTTGATAGTAGATAAGGGTGTACTTTCTGAATACCTTTCTGTAAAGTTGAGCTCAAGTCCAAGCAGCATTCTTTCATTCTCACTCACTCTTAGCCTCCCCCAAAAGTCACACTGAAAATACAACGCCTCCTCGAGGTTCTAAAAGTCCAAAATGAACTGACTATTTTTTGTTAGAATAATACAGAAATCCCAGGCTGAGATGTAGTTATGCCATTAAAGCAGAGCTTTTTGAGTTATTCAGGGAAAACTAGTTTTACTCAGCTAACCCAGAACAGAACTGTCATTATGGTCAAGTCCACACGACAGACACCTTTCTGCCATAACAGCAACCTGACATCAGTGAAGCACATCAAATGAAGCTATATTTAATCCCACCACTTTTTCATGGGAAAGCAACAGTAAGTCCCCATGCACAGATACCAGAATGATCTGGTATGAATGACCTGGCAAGCTCTAACTTAAACCAGTGAGCAGAGTTAAACCTCTCAAAGAGCCTCCACAAGGAAGCTGGGAAAACAGAACTAGGGTTAACGGTCACAGCGTTGCTCTTGGAACCTCTCTAGGGAGAGCAGCTGCATTTCTTCCCCTGGCACCTTGAAAATCCCACGTCTGGCCCAATTCACGGGTGCAATTCTAACTTTTGTTATTATGAGAAGTTACAGAAAACACCTCCGGGTTTGGAGAGGGGAGTGAAATTAGAACCTTTCACGCTAATTGGAAATTGTATTAACATCTTTCACGTTCAGAGAAACTATTCCATACCTTTCCTCTACATGCTACAGATTTGAGTGTTTGCCAAAAGTTTATATTGCCTTTTTATTTCCAATCCACAAGACTGTCACAAGAAAGAAGTGCACTCTGACATCAAATTCTAACAACTTCTGCAAATGCTTCTCCTCATATAAGATTTTTCTAAGAGAGACAATGTCCTAAACAATAGAATCATTGTCTGCCATGTTTGAATAAAGTCTTCTGACAAAACACTACTTACTGTAAAGTGTTATTAATAAACTATTATACTTGTAAGCTACTATATGCTTTGCTACACAGCCTTCACTTAAGTTAAAATCAAGACAACAAGCAAACATATTCTACTTACTTTAACATACATGTAGTCTAAACCATCTATTTCCATCCCGTATCTCTTGTAAGGCAGATCTGCAGCACTTGCAGAGGCAACTGGTGTTTCCTTTCCACGCAAAATAGGTTCAATTTCCATGGAAAACATTTCCATGTTTCTTGTGTTGGTATACACTAACTCATAAGGCAACTTTGGAATCTCTCTCTCCGGTTTCCTCAGCAAAAACAACTGAGGTCATCTGCTTTAAAGATACTTATGAATAACCCATGGAGTCTGCACAGAGTAACGTGTGACAAGCCATGTTGGGGCAATGAATTCCTTCATTGTTAGACCGACTCATAGTATTTTTAGTTTATTTCTCTGGCTCTACAAAGACCAAGAGTGTCCTCCTGTAAACCAAAAAGTAATAGCAGAATTTTCTGTCTTGTGATAATCAAATTGAAGAACTCATAGACACTGTTGGTAACTGCAGCAAGACTTCATAATGTTTTATATCTATTTACAAAAAAGAGACCGTATGGGCAAGAAAATCGCTCAGATGAGAAGTCTCTGTTCCTCTACGTGTAGGACCATCAAGCTAGAAACATGCAGTTTACATCTAACCACACAGCAGTCTCAGGAAACATAACACAACAAGTCATACATCATATTTTGCCCCTGTGCTAACTGCTATAAAGACATAATGAGAGCTCTTCAAAGTAACCTTGTTTTAGCCCCTACATTTAATTTTAAAGCAAGAGCTCTCATTGGACTACAGTGTGAGTAGTCTGGAAGAGTCTTCTCTCAATTATCCCCACTGTCTCTTAAGAGCTAAATAAACCCAACGAGCCACTCTCCCTGCTAATTATCGGTGGCAGCTTTCACCCTATGTGAATTACCTCAACAGCCTGACCTACAGTCATACCTGAAGCGGGGTTAAAAGGCAAAAATGAAGACTTGGTGAGCAATGAGGGAAATGCAACAGCTTTCAAGATGTTCAGAAAACAACCACAACTATCAGCAAACAGCACGGAGGTAACAGACTCCAAGACGACCCTGCAGGCACAGCCGCATTCCGCTTCTCCTCCCGTTTAATCATGGTACTGCTCCCTCAGACTGTTCATCAGCATGGTGACTTCTCATTCATGCTTGCTTATTTTATGTTAGGTTTGTACCTTCTTCTCCCTTAACACTTTAAGAAGCTTTACCCCAGCCTTGAGTATCTCCATGCCATTATTATCCAGGGAAAGATCTGTGACAATTCTTGCTATTGTCCCCGATTAACAGGACAAAGAAATTAATCCCATGCCACTAAGGAGAACAGATGGTGCAAAGCCACAAGATCTCCACTTTTATAAGTAATCCACTTTTTACCTTCTTCAGAATTTGCATTAAAATTTGCAGATAATCACAGTAAAAGTTGGGTCAATATCTGCAATCCACAGATACTCAGCAGGAGTGAAGTCTTTAAACTTTATTAGCAGTGCCTGATGTTTCCTCTGCGTACCTTCCAGCTTTTTAATGCCCACGATTCAGCAAGAAGGGTACTCCTTTAATGTAATCACACCAAATACTTACCCTCTTTTAAAAGGAAAAAAAAACCAAACAAAAACACACACACACACAAAATGACGAGCTTTAGCCACCACTGATCTCTCTTCTACATTTTATTTTTGTATAAATAGACAAAGATATGTAGAAATAAAACTACTAAATACTAATACTACTAAATACTATAATGAAGTGGGAGTCATCAGCAAAGTATCTATATTGTCACAGAAAAGGCGCAGGTTACGAGCCAGATGGCCAGGAGAAAGGAAGACCCCAAAATCATCAAGATCATCAGCTCAGTAACTCTGGCGCTTTTCACATTTGCCCAGTGCCGGGCAGCTCAGGTTACCCATCCCACACAGAATTTCACACTGGGCGGCTGCCTGTAGCAAACTGAGAAAGTGGACTATGCTAAAAGAAGACGAATGCAACTATGATCTCCCTGAGATGGTGGGGGTCCTGAAATCAGGAGCTACTTCTGAAAACACACTCTTGCTATTAAATATTAAAATTGGTTTTTCAGTAGACAGGTCCTAACTTACTGCAACGCTGCATACTCAGAGCTTAACACAAAGAACTTGACAACATCCCTAGGATATGTTTTGTTTGATTTCCTGCACAAATCATTCTGAGCAGCTATAAAACAGCAAAGTTATTTCCCTGCAACAAGAGGAAATAGAAAATCAAAAGCCAAATCTTTCAGATTTACATGCTTGATTTCAAAGCGTAAAATTAAGAAATCTTATTACTCACAGGGAACAAAGATAAACCTTTGCAGGATCAGGCTTAAGCAAACTCAGGGTTAATCAAAGCCAAGAAACGTGGAGAACAAGGAAGAAATAATGCAGTCCTAAGCAAAGGGCGGCACAGAGCACAGCACCAGCACAGCCATGAAAGTGCTGTTCTCTGCAAGGAAAGTCACTAAAAGCCCTGCTATTTGCGTTGGTAAACACGGCCTTAGCAACCCCACCACACAACTCTCCATCCTGCATCCAGCTCGGAAGTAATGCCAGCAAAGGGAGAAAGCTACTGTACAAAGAGCCTTTGAATTCAACGCAGTCTGAATTTTCTTTATCGCTTGTGACCCTGAGATAACAGGTTTAATTTTGTGCCTAATGCATTTCTACTTACTTTAAAGTTTTGGTACCAATTTAAACCAATCAAACTCTTAGGAGCATCATCCCCCAAACAAAAACATACACCTGTTGTGCTGTCTCATGAGCAGGGTTACGGTGATATACTCTAAGGAAAAAGTCAAAGTCACAGACATGATGAAAATTTCCAAGCACTGCAGGTTTATTCTGACCCTAGCACTCTATCTTCTGCAAAAAGAAACACCTATTATTAAAGGAAAGTAGGAAGTTCTGCCTCGTTAGTGCAGCAGAAACAAGCAGAAGGCACACACTGCTGCTTTGACTCATCTGAGCAGTTTGCTACAGAAGCAGCCGTGCCCAAAAGCTGTTTCTTGGCCCTGGGTCCAACTGCACAAATACTCACTATCAGTCAAGCGTGATACACGCAGTAGTAAACACTGCTCCACTACAGTGAGCACAAAATTAGATCAGAGATAACCTCTGCACCTTCAAGCGTACAAAAGAAAACCCAACCGAGTAAAAAGGGTTCAGACTCTGCGAGTTCCTAACTTCATACATGCAAACGAAGCTAAGCTGACTTTAACCGAGAGGCATAAACCAAACCACTGGCTCTTATCAGAGTTCTTGCTGCCTGGCAGCACAAAGCAAAACGGGGTCCATCATCGTCCTGCGTCACAAGATGTCTTTCAAACTGGCAACGCCTGTACGTACGCTCGCATATGCAGACAGGTGTCAAAGAATCCAGATACATATAGCATTAGAAGCAAGACTTCAAGCAGCTAAATATTTGTGTGTATCGTTTTCCAGTAATGAAATCTGAATTCAACGAATGTCCCTGTAGGACAGCCCAAGCAGCTGGCTCCTCCGAGACCTGCTGTCAGAAATGCAGGCACCATCCCACTGGTGCCCACAGGACAGCAGACTTGCGAGCCACACACTGCTTTTCCTTCACAGTAGGAACATCATCTACGATTAACCTTATGATCACTTGTTTTTTTAAATCCTATTAAAAATAGAACATCCAGAACAGTGAAACCTTGTGATTCTGGCTGTTTCTGCGACTTCCTCCAATTCAACTGGTTCAGTTAGTAAACTTCAATAACAAAAATGCTTTCTTTATTCCTACAGAGATTAAACAATGAGTCTCATTAAAGAGACAGACAAATTACTTTGTTATTTGAACACACCGAGAGGATTAAACTCCCAAAGGCCTGACGAGGAGACCGTAAGAGCCAGGTACATCTCCTGGACCAGCCACCTATCCATTCCCATTCAACCTGAAGCTCCGTAGCTCACTGAATAGTAACGGTGGTCACTACACACACTTCCTGACGTGACAGGAGCTGGGCATCAATTTATCTGATCATTTATTTACCTAAAAAATAACAGTAATCCATTACCTAGGCCATCTGCCACATGCTATACAACCACTGCAGTAGAAACAGACTGCAAATAACCAGTGGCAGCTCAATGTACAGACATTATCATTCTGCAAGGATCGCTGATGACAGTTTGAGGTGGATCTCACATAATCCGCTAATAATATTAGGTAAATGTTTTAACATGACACTCAAAGAATTAAAAAAAATAAGATCAATCATTATAAATGGGACCTTCACAATTATTTTTTACATGTAACAAAGAATTCACGCAACTTTCAACATTAGGTCTACAGAAAAAGCAAATTTGAGTATGAAGCTATGATCTAATCTTCCCCCACTAAGTAGCTCCCCATGACACTACACTTTCAGTGTTTCCTTAACCCTACAGAATACACCCCCTAAAACACTGTTTGTGGGCTGCAGGAAGCTTTCACAAAGAGTTTGCTCTCTCTCCGGCCCCACTGCCCTGCCCAGGGTTGTGTCATTTCCTCCTTGGGACACACTCAGCACCCAGGGGAGCAGCCCTGGCACAGACCGGGCTCTGAATCAAACTATCACTCGTCTTACTTCCCAAGGCTCAAAGTTTATTTTAACAAGAATGATACATTACTGACATGTCACAAAACTGCCGTTGGAAAGCTAAGAGGTTTTTTAGCTTCTTAGGCTGCTGTGGTTGGCATTTGACTACAGGAAACTTTTTTTTTTTTTTACAAAAACATAATAAAATGTCAAGGTTAGGTTAAACCAAGTATTGTTAGACTGTTGGGCAACAGGAATAAAGCTGATGCACACAGTTGTGAGTTGTCACCGGCAGAGTTACTGCTGCGTTTATTCCAGCGACACAGTAGGTCCCCAAAGCAGAAAAGCAACTGAAATATCCTCTATTCTGCTGCTGCATTAGATTTTTAGAAGAGGCAGAGATAGAGTTATAAAACATCCTGTAAGGGCTCACTGTCATTTGCAGATGCAATTGCTTGACAGTACACATCTGATTTCTACAACAGCCTCTCTGCTCTGAACTGCACAGGTCTGACTTGAGCAGGGTGGG